AGGGTGGGGAATCAGTTATGGGAGGTTACCAGGAAAAGCACAGTACACAAGCATAATATTATCATGCAGACTTAAATCCACACCTGCTCCACTGATAACAATTTCTAGAGTTACCCTCCTCTTCTTGGTACAATGAATGAAACACCCTTACAAATGTAAATGTCCTTTTAGAAAGAGTAACTTCTACTTGGTTTTCAGAGGTTCTCCCTTGTCTTCTGTTTCTTAAAATTAACCAGCCTAAATAAAATCATCAATATTCCTAAAGAGGCATATTTAGAGGTGGTAAACTTTGCTCCCTTCCCTACTGATCTTCTGGACATTAAGAAAACAGTAAGAGAATATTATGAACAGCTCTATGCCCATAAATGTAATTAACTTGGAAGAAAGGGACTGATTCCTTGGAAGACACAATCTACTAAAATTTACACAGGAAAAATAGATAATCTGAATAGGACTATATCTATTAAGGAAATTGAATCAGTATTTAATCATCTTCTAAAACATAAAGCACGGGGCCCACATGGTTTCACTGGTGAATTCTACCAAACATCTAAGGAAAAAATTATACCAATTATCTATAATCTCCTCCAGAAAAATCGAAGAGGGGACACTTTCTAACTAATTCTAATAGGCAACATTCCACTAATACCAGAACCAGATTAGGATATTACCCAAAGGAAAACTGCAGACCATTATCTCCCATGAACATTCCAAACTCAATGCGGCCAGTGTTAGGCTCATCATGACCAGGCCTACCTTACCCTTCTAGCTTCATTTTCTTGCCACCCCCTTATTCCCATGTTTTGTTCTAGCCAAAATGAACATTTTTCACTTCAGTGAAGATGATGGTGATGATGACGACAACAGTAACAGTAACAACAACAATTATAACACCTTTTTAGTAGTCTCTGTAATCTGTCAACTTGACTAGGAACTCCATCCATGCATGTTTCTAGTTAGGGTGGGCTACAAGAGATATATTTGCGCAAGATTTGGAGGGCTGAACTGAAGCATTTTGTTGTTTACTTTTGGAAAGTTGAAATATGTACTTTTGTAGGTCATACATGTTGCCACTTATCTGCTGCTCACCTCAGGGTGAGGCACAGTGGGTGCAACCGCTCCACCTTCCCTTAGAGCCTCCTTCACCTTCTCCATTTCCTGTTTAGCTCCTGGATGCGGGGACACTCCTGTAGGATACCTACTTTAACAAGGTTGGAAGCACTGAGAACTGACATGGGCTCCAGCCCATCCTCATGTGCTCCTGAGTTCCAGCCTGTCATGGCTCTCTCACTTTATATCCATCTTCACTTCCTCACTGTTTGCCCTGCAGACTTCAAGCTCCCGCATAAGATGCAAAGACGACAGCTTTACAGACTCTGTAACCTGTTCCCACCACTGCATAAGATCAAGTCCCTGTAACACATCTCTTATTAAATATATTTTCCTTCTACTGGCTCTGAGGCAATATAGTAAGAAGCTAGGAAAATTACTTGGCAAGTGGAATGGGGAAACTGAGACAGCTGATTCAAAACGGCCTCATCTAGCACCCTGACTCACTTGCCTCTTTCTCCCTTGTGCGACCACTCCCTTAAACATTAAGCCCTCAGGACAACAAGGTTCTGATCAGCATAAAATAATACTAAGAACAAAGCCTCGGGTCTGTTGACCACAAAGACAGAATTTTGGTCAAACTAGAGATAACATCTAGACCACAGCTGTGTTTCAGCTCCAGGCCCAGAAAAGCAGCAAAACCAGATGAAGCGATGCCATGGCTGGCATCAGGACCAGATGCAATGACCAGTGATCCCCTAGAGTAGTGGTTCTCAACCTTCCTAATGCCACAATCCCTTAATACAGTTCCTCATGTTGGATGTGGGCGTATCTGCATGTGGGCAGACCCGCCTGGACACGGATAGAGGAGGGGTGTCTCGGTTCCTATGACCATTGGAAAAATGTTTTCCGATGGTCTTAGGAGACCCCTGTGAAAGGGTTATTTGAACCCCCCAAAGGGGTTGTGACCCACAGGTTGAGAACTGCTGCCCTAGAGGCTCATTTTGGGGAATCAGCATATTAAAGGACACACCTGGAGATCCTTCCCTGAGCTCTCCCCTAAAATTCCTGCCTTTAGAAAATAGATAAAAGCACTTAAGACAAAGGACCCAGTGCATTCTCTCTCTCTCTCTCTCTCTCTCTCTCTCTCTCTCTGGAGCACACCTGCACCCCACCCCCTTCTTTCTTCAGGCATGTGTCTTTGCTTTTTTTCCTCCTAAGCTCTAAAGTTTCCAAGAGACTTACAACCAGGGGAGCAGCTTGTCCTGGGCTAACATCCTGAACCTGTTTCCAAGGGCTCTTCTTTTGCCTCTGTGACTTGTTTCCTGAGTCCCTGCAGCATGGCTGGCTCACTTTGCCTCTGTGACTTTCCTCTGTGAGCTCTGCCCAGGCTCACTCCTACTGCTATAATCTGCCTCTTCTATCTTAAGCCCTTCCTTTGTTTTACTGTCCCCACCTTTAATAAACATACTCTCAGAATCATCTGGACTTGTGTTGTGAAATGTTTCCTGCATGAAGTCAAGAACAGAGGGCTGACATCACCGCTAACAGTTCTACTTCAATTGAACCCTGACTGATACGAGTGCTTACTATGTGCCAGACAATGATACAAGCCAACTGCTTACAACTCATTTAATCTGCATATTGATCCTATGAGGTAGGTATGGACAGGCACTGGGAGGATAAGACATTGCCCAAGGTTATGCAGCTACTAAGTGGCTAATAAGATGACCATGTTGTATTGTTAGGTGATAAATGCAAATTCCAAAGCAGTATATTTTAAATGATTCAAATTTTGTTAAGAATAATAAAATATATGCATATATAGAGTAAAAAAAACTAAGTAATACGTGTCCGAAGACTAGAATTCTGAAGAACTTGGGTTATTTTACATGGCTTTTTAATATTTGAAAATTTATAACAAACAGTTATAATTGCAATTTTACTAGCCAAAATTTATCTCAAGGAAATAATAAAAGATATTCACAAAAATTTGACTACAAGGATATATATCATGTGATTGTTTGCTATAGTAAGAAATTGGAAAAAAATGTAAATGTCCAACAATAAAGAACTAATTAAATAAGTTATGGTATATTATAATAATATTCTAGAAGCTTTAGTGGCAGGTAATCATGATATTTTAAGTGAAAAGAGTAAGTTAAATCTAAATATCTAATTTGGGATTGCTTTCATCCAGGTTACAAAACAATGTATACTTATAGTTCCCTTTTTGTGGAAAATAATGTTCCTACATATTTCATTTTCCTATACTTTAAATATTACTTCTACGTATGTATATCTTCTTAGCCAATCTTCACAAAAAAGGTATAGAACTGGTATTACTATTCCCACTTTAGAGATAAGAAACCAAGCTTCAGAAAAGTTAAATAGTCCTTTTTCTTATTCAGTTCTTTGATTACATCTTTTATTTCTTTAAAAACTTCACACAGGTGCCTTACAATTGATCCTTCTTAATCCCAATGGCTGAATCTGGTGTTTGTTGTTTCTGCTGACTGTCATTCATGGTAGCAAGTTTCCTTGTGTTAGTTGGTGATTTTTGATTGTCAGCATATATTTGATTGAACTTAATAGATGGGAATCCTTAATATCTAAACTGAGGTTGCTTTCCTCCAGAGATAATTTGGGGGCTGCCTACTGGGGGAATACTTTCGCTCCTTCAAGATTCCCAGCTAAATACTAGCGTCTGTCGCAAACTTCCTTGACTTTTCCTCTGAACACAGGGTTGATATTGTGATTTGCCCTTTGACTCAGGAGTTTACTATTCATCATGTTTGGTTTACCTCATGGTGTATCTGCCTTCTGGGCTTTCTATTGCTTTGTGAGCGATACTTTAAAAGGTACACTTACTGTACTTTATTCCGGAGGACAGCCTGCCACCCTGCCAGAAGCGACAGTGAGACAACTATTTTTCCCCTATTCTCACTGAGTGAATTCATTATTCATTTGTACATTTATTCATTCACTTACTCAAACATTCTTTCATTCACTAAATATTTACTGAGTACCTACTGAGTGTCAGCCCTGTGCTAAAGCTTTTAAATGGAGCTAAGAGTAAGTTTCTGAGCTTCCCAGTATATGTGGATGTCTGTATATCTTTTCAGTGGCTAAAACCATATTTTTCTTAAAATATATGTGAATCACTCTGAGTGCCATAAAAGTAAGAAGCCTCAGTTACTGGAGTTTAGGGCATCCAAGAAGACGATTTAAGTAAGATCCTAACAACAATCCCAATAATTTTAGAAAAAACTATGACACCTCTTATCTGGTAGCAGCTTGTTGATGATTAAAATGCCTGTAAAGTACTAGGAACTTCTTTGAAAAAAAATCAGCTTATAAATACAAAACACCAACTTCATTCTATTCTGCATTTTGTGCTAATAGTGTTAGAGTTAGAAAAGCAAATCCCAGATATCCTATTTCCTAGGCAATTCAGTCATTCATGAAAATTCACTGGTGTACCAAGTGTGTCCCAGAACAAGAAGAAATAATCCCTACCTTAAGAATCCCACACTCACCCTGGCTGGTATGGCTTGGTTGGCTGGGTGTCATCCTGTGCATAAAAAGTTGCTGGTTTGACTCTGGTCAGGGCACAAGCCCAGGTTATAAGCTCAAGCCCTGGTAGGAGACGTGCAGGAGGCAGCTGATCTATGTTTTGCTCTTATACATTGATGTTTCTCTCTTCCTCTAAAAATCAATAAAATTCTTAAAAGAAGAAGAAGCAGCAGCAGCAGCAGCAGCAGCAGCCCACACTCTAGTGTGAAAGGCAAAGAAAGAAAGAAAGAATGAGCATACAGTGTGGTAAGTGTGATGTACGAGAAGTGTGAGTTTACTTCAGAGGGACACACAGGAAACACACTGGTGAACTGACACCACTGGAAAACTCAGCCAAGGTTAGCCCACGAGAAACTGACGTCTGCTCCTCTTACCTCTTCTGTTGTTCTTCCTGATATTGCTGCTTTATTTTAGCTTCATTTTCTGTGGCTTCTTTTATCCTTTCCTCTAGTTGCTTCTTTCCCAAAATACAAGCATCTGTGAGACAGACTTTATGAGCATGTTCTAATTTCTGCTGCAGATCCAAAATCTTGAATGAAAAAGTTTACAAATAAAACTTTAGAGAAAAGTGTGACCTATTTTCCAATTAGGGAAATACAATATAAATAGCAAACACAGTAGTGCTGGCACACAAATCTGATCTAAAGTAAAGAGTGGCTAGATTTATTTTCATTTTAAAATAAATTTAGTTTCTGTAATATGTAATATATTCACAAAGCTGTGTGTAAACAAAGCTATATGGTGAAAAGTCTCCTTCCCACCCCTAACCTGTCTTCCTCCACCAAATAGATGATCACTGATATTAGTTTCTTGTATATCCTTCCAGAGATTTATTTATGCACATATAAACAAATATTATTATATAGTTCTCCTTCCCATACACATTTTTTACACAAATGATGGCATGTTATACTTACGTACCTTGCTTTTTTAAATAAAAATACACTCAGTGATTTTTCTATATTATAAGTATATATATAAGAGTCTTCTCTTTTATAGTCATATACCATTCCACTGTAAGAATATACCATAATTTATTTAACTAGCCTCCTACTGATAGACATTTAGGTTAATTCCAATCTTTTGCTGTAATGAACAATGCCTCTACAATAACTTACGAAGTGTGGATTTGCCAGGGCAAAGGTTATTATTTGTTTGTTTGACAGATAAGGGCAAACTGTCTCCATAGGTATGAGAGCCACCTTACATGTCTAATAGCCATGTGTGAGTGTCTGGTTTCTCCACAGTGTGGCTGCATTCAGGAATAGTATCTCAAAACAAAGTCAAAGTCTCTTACAAATCAAGCGCCAATTAGCATACTACCTAACACCAGTAATACCCTGGTAACACTAAAAATAAGGTTTATGAATGTGAAAGATATATACTTTTATTTTAGAATTTACATGTTAGATTAAAATGAAAATTATTTTGTTAGATGAATATTCTTTTAAACTTGTTTATTTATTTTTAAAATGTTTTTATTGATTTTTTTTTTTTGTACAGATAGAATGGGAGGGAGAGAGAGGAAGGGAGAGAGAGAGAGAAACATCGACGTGAAGGGACACATCGAGTGGCTGCCACCCGCACGACCAACCAGGGCCGGGGACAACCTGCAACCGAAGTACGTGCCCTTAGCGGGAACCGAACCCGAGTCTCTCTGGACCGCAGGCCGACGCTCTAACCGCTGAGCCAAACTGGCCAGGGCTTTATTGAGTTTTTATAGAGAGGAAGAGAGAGAAAGATAGAAACCTCTATCAGCTGCCTCCTGCACGCCCCCTACTGGGTATCGAGCCTGCAACCTGGGCATGGGCCCTGGCCTGCAATCAAACTGGGACCTCTCAGTCCATGGGATGACACTCAATCCACTGAGCCAGACTGGCCAGGCATAAACTTGTTTACTTATCTTTTATAAGCCTTTCTGTCACCTAAATTTGTGACTGGTACATAGTAAGTGTTCAAGAAATATTTGTTGAATGACTAGATGTCAGTAGAACAGCTGTTCTCCCTCTACTGCCTTCCTGACCCACCAATGAGTCCCTCACAATGGTTTGATGCAACATTCTGCGCGAACACTCAGTGAATGCCAGTGGATGGCAGTCCTTTTCTAAGAGAAGGGCTTTCTGCATCAGCCCTAAGCCTGGGCACGTAGGACCTTGCAAAATCATACACTGTAGGACAGGTGAAGATGCAGAACAATTCAGGGCAATGGAAGAGGTCAGGTCAAGTTCCTTTGAGCTGCCCCATTAGTTCTGTGCTTAGGGAAATGCTACTTAAAGATATTGTCTCTTTCTTTTTAATTTTTTTCTTTTTTTCTTTATTGATTTTAGAGAGAGAAGAAGGGGGGGAGAGAGAGAGAGAGATAGAAACATAGACGAGAGAGAACATCAACTGGCCACCTTCTGCATGCCCCCCACTGGGGATAAGGCCTACAACCTGGGCATGTGCCCTGACTGGGAATCAAACCGGTGACTTCTTGGTGCATGGGTCAATGTTCAACCACAGAGCTACACTGGTTGGGCTGTTATTTACTTCTTGATGTTAGTTTTATATTTATATAGCTAGATTAAATGACTTATTTTTGATATAAAATTTGGCTCAGACAAACCTACAAACCAATACAGCCAACCATTACATCCTACTGCCACCTGGTGCTGGCAATCTAAAATGCAGGGCAATATTTCGAAAGGGCTCATTTCACAACACAAATCCGAAAATTACAAAATAAAAACCATGTAAATACCAATCCAATGAGGGGAGAATAAATCTCTTAAAATTTGAATGTATAAAACAAAAGTCATTTGGTCTCAGTTCTTTAAATGATCACTTTCATGAAATACCTTTATAAATTCACACAGTTTTAAAAAATACACAAGATTTACTAGAATCGTAGAAGCAGGTGAAGTCCAAGGGAAGAAAGCATGGGAGGGTAAAGAAAAACCCTGGAATTCTGACAAGCTTGCACCATATCTATTTCTTAAAATCCTTAAGGAAACAGGATTCTGGTGGTGGTATCCAGCGCATGTTACTTATTAAGCATGAGGATAATTACCTTTTCCTCTGCATCAGCAACTTTAGATTTCTCCTGAGCCAGCTTTTCTTGCAGGCTGTTCTGTGATTTAATGATCTGAGCCTGTGTAAGTACTTCCAGCTCCAGTTCCTTGATTTTCTGCTGACATTGCTTCCACTCTGCTGGGGGTGAAGAGTACAACTTCACACTGTCTAATAACTTCTGCTGGGCCTGCTTTAGTTCAATTTTGATCTAGAAGTGGAGCATAAATAACAGTGATGGAAATAAGCATGGAGCGAGTGTGCATGTGAGCCAGAATAAGCAGCTTCCAAAGGAATGCAGTCCCCCAGGAACGAACAAACACCAATGTCATGTGGCTGCCTACCTCTCTGGAGCTGATGTGTGTTAGCAAGGTTCGCCAAGGTCTATCTTGCCAGATGGCAGCGGGACAAAGGGATTTTCCTAAGAGTTTCAATACATGCATGGTCTAAATATTTTTCATCCTTTTTTCTATCACTCCAAGCTGGCTTTCCTTGCCACTACTCCATGAAGCTGCTTTTGCCAAGGGCACTATTGCCAAAGTAAGCCCGATGGACAGTGGAGCAGTGGCATTCACTCTCTCCCTCTCAGAAAGTTCTCCTCTCTTGGAGTCCGTGATACCAAATTCCTCTGGTTTCCACTTACCTCTCTTCTGTTCATTCTTGGTCTCTTTTGCACTGTTCTAAATGTTATTGGATTAAACTGGACCTTGAGGGTGGACCATTCTCTCTCCTGATTCATGCTTATGATTTAAAACACCACCTTTGCCCTGGCCGGTTTGGCTCAGTGGTTGGAGCGTCGGCCTGTGGTCCAGAGAGACCCGGGTTCGGTTCCGGTTAGGGGCACATACCTCAGTTGCAGTTTGTCCCCGGCCCTGGTTGGGTGGTGCGGGTGGCAGCCACTCGATGTGTCCCTTTCACATCGATGTTTCTCTCTCTCTTCCTCTCTCCCCCTCCCACTCTACCTGAAGAAAGAATAGAAAAATGTCCTCAGGTGAGGATAAAATAAATAAATAAATAAATAAATAAATAAATAAATAAATAAATAAATAAATAAATAAAAATAAAACACCACCTTTATGTCAAGTAATTGTCAAAGTGAAACTCTTTGATCTGCCCATATCTCCAAAATTGTTTTTCTCTCAGTCTTCCTGATTACAGTAAATGATGCCACCCTCTATCCTTCTATTCAGGCCAATAACCTGAGTTTCCTTTCCCATCATGAGCCACTTCAACGCCAGCTGTCACTCTGCTTCCACTGCAGCTCTTGCATCAATCCAGTTGTGTCGTCTGTGTTACCACCCTCCTCTGGATCAGCATCACCTCTAGCCCTGGCCGTAGCAATAGTCTCAACACTGGTCCTGTCATTTCCATTTTGACTCCCTTTGAATCTGTCCTCTGCACAGCAGCTAAAATGTTCTTTTTTTTAATCCTCACCGGAGGACATTTTTCCATTTTTTGTTCAGGTAGAGTGGGAGGGAGAGAGAGGAACAGAGAGAGAAACATGGACGTGAAAGGGATACATTGAGTGGCTGCCACCCGAACGACCCAACCAGAGCCGGGAACAAACTGCAACCGACGTACATGCCCTTGGCGGGAACTGAACCCGGGTCTCTCAGGACCACAGGCTGATGCTCTAACTGCTGAGCCAAACCGGCCAGGGCTAAAATGTTCTTTTTAAAACATAAGTTGAGCCCTGGCCGGTTTGGCTCAGCGGTTGGAGCGTTGGCCTATGGTCCAGAGAGACCTGGGTTTGGTTCCCTCTGGCGGCGCGTGCCTCAGTTGCAGCTTGTCCCCGGCCCTGGTTGGTTGTGAGGTTGACGGCCACTCAATGTGTCCCTTTCACGTCGATGTTTCTCTTTCTTCCTCTCTCTCCCTCCCACTCTAGCTGAACAAAAAATAGAAAAAAGTGTCCTCGGGTGAGGATTAAAAAACAAAACAAAAAAAAACAACATAAGTTGATGTCCCGGCTGGTTTGGCTCAGCAGTTAGAATGTCGGCCCACAGACCAAAGAGTTGCGGGTTTGATTCCGGTCAAAGGCACAAACCTCGGCTGTGGGTTTGGCCCCCAGCCCTGGTCGGGGTCATGTAGGAGGCAACCAGTCCATGTGTCTCTCTCACATCAATGTTTTCTATTGTTTTTGCTTTTTAATCCTCACCCAAAGATATTTTTCTATTTCTCTTCAGATAGAGTGGGAGGGAGGGGGAGAGAGAGAGAGAGACATCGACATGAGAGGGTTACATCGACTAGCTGCCTCCCGCACAACCCCGACCAGGGCCGGGGATGAACCACAACTGAGGTACATGCCCTTGACCGGAATCAAACCCGTGACTCATTGGTCTGTAGGGTGACGCTCTAACCGCTGAGCAAACCGGCCAGGGCACATCGATGTTTCTCTCTCTCTTTCTCTCTCTCTCTATCTGAAGATAAATGGAAAAAAATATCATTGGGTGAGGATTTAAAAACAAAGAAAAACATAAGTTGAACTACTTGACTCCCCTCCTTAAATATTTTAGTGGCTTCGCATCACTCCGGGAACAAATCCCAGCATCTTGCCTGGCCTTGTATGATCCAGCCCCCACAGCCCTCTTTAGAATCATCTTGTCATTCCCCCTTCTTCCACTGATCTTCTGTCATGCTGGTTTCTGTTTGGAGTTTCCAACACACCAGACTCGACTCTCTCCTCTGCTGGGAATGCTGTCCCTTTGCTCTCTCCTAATGGTATGCTTGGTTCCTGTCTATTCTTAAGGTCTTAGCGTACACGTCACTTTTTAAGAGAAAACTTCCATGATCATTTAATCTGAAGAGGTTTCCTTACTTACTTCTTACTTATTATACCATATTTATTTCCTTCATAGAACTTACCACAATCTATAATTAAACACGTATTTATCTACTTGTTTACATCCCTCTTCCTCACTCTAAATTCCCAGCTGGGACCATGTGTTTTATCCACTTCTCAGTATCCAAGGCCTATCAAAAGTGCCTAAAGTAGATGATGAATCAATATTTGCTGAACAAATAAGTGAATGAATGACATTCTAAGGAATAGTAGAACCTGGTAAATGGACAAACTAGATAGGACTCACAGACAGAAATGCTGAGCTAGAACTTACTTTATCTTATGTAAAACAATTTCCTGGGCTCAAAATTAATAGGGAGCATAACTACAATTTCCTCCATTTATGACTTTTCTGTGTATTAGCCATTTGGATCTTATCAAATGAATTAAAAGTTACTAATGTTCAACCTCTCTGAGCATCAGTTTCTTCATCTGTAATATAGGGATAACTACTTAACTCATAGGACAAAGCAATGAAAACATCAAGAACAGAAACAGCCCTGGCAGGTTTGGCTCAGCGGTTAGAGCGTCGGCCTGCGGTCCAGAGAGACCCAGGTTCGGTTCCCTCTAAGGGCACGTACCTCAGTTGCAGTTTGTTCCCAGCCCTGGTTGGTCATGCAGGTGGCAACCACTTGATGTGTCCCTTTCACGTCAATGTTTCTCTCTCTCTCTCTCTCTCTGTTCCTCTCTCTCCCTCCCACTCTACCTGAACAAAAAATGGAAAAATATCCTCGGGTAAGGATAAAAAAAAAAAAGAACAGAAACAGCTACATGGGTTATACTATTATAAGTTAACTGCTGTTCCTCAAGAATCACTTATAGAATATCTACTGTATTTGAAGTATAGAACTGAGGCAGATACTACTATAACTATTGTATATTGGTTAGGCGTTCATATCTACGGAGTAGCTGAGATTGGTACTTTACCCCATTTTAGATAAAAAAACTGAGTCTCAAATATAGTTGGCAAATGATAGAACCACCATCTGAATACAGATTTCTGATTCTAGTCCAGTATTCAACACGAAACTGCCTCAAAATTGTGAAAGCCTGTATTTTTTAATTTATCAACAGAGCTAAAAGTTAGTTCTTGAAAGGTCTAATAAAATGGGTAAACTAGTGAGAGTGATTAAGTGAAAAGCAACAAAGGACAGGTAACTAGTATCATGAAATTAAAAAGGTCCATTACTATATTTAAACATTTCATGAATAAGTTTATATAAAAATATATTTTTAATTAAAAAAGTTTGTTTTTTCTTTATTGATTTTGAGAGAGAGCAGAAGGGAGAGGGAGAGAGAGAAACATCGATGAGAGAGAACATAGGTTGGCCACCTCCTGCATGGCCCCCACTGGGGATCGGGCCCACAATCTGGGCATGTGCCCTGACCAGGAATTGAACTGGGACTTCTCAGTCTATGGCACAATGCTCAATCCACTGAGCTACACCGGTCAGGTAAAATTTTTTTTAAAATTTAATGAAAAGAAAAAATTTCTAAAAAAGTAAGATATACCAAAGTTAATATAAGAAGAAATTTAAAATGTGAGTTTTCATAACTAATAAGGAACTGAATTAGCAATAAAAAAATCTTTCCAAAAGAAACCTTAGGATTCAGAAATGAGTTGTAATTGTTTAAGAACTAATGAAGTTTTATACACTCTTTCAGAGAACAGAAAAACGGGTATATTACCCATTCTATGTTAAGAGGCTATGATAACCTTGAGAGCAAAATTTGACATGTACATTATAAGAAAGGAAAATGACAAGCTGTCTTATTTATGAACTATCTCAAAAAAATATTAGCAAGCCAGAATCAGCAATGTAGGAAAAGGATAATAACTTATGATGAAGTTGGTTTATCCCAACAATGCAAGGTTGGGTTAACATTAAATCAGTCAATATAATTCACTATATTAGAATTTAAAAAATTTAAATCTTATCTCAAAAAATGCAGAAAAAGAATTTGATAAAATTCAACATTTACTTATTATAAAACGTTGAACTAACACTACAAAAAAATTTCCTTAATTTGATCAAGAATGTCCATTTAAAGGCCCTACAAATAAACATACTAAATGTTGAAAACTGAGAGATTTTCCTTTGAGAGTGGGAATGAAGTAAAGGATACCCATTATCACTGGTTCTATTCTGCACCATACTGGCCACTGGAGAGAACAAAGAAAAAAGAATGAAAGGTGTAATTTTTGGAAGGGAAGAATTTATATTTGTTCTCAGATGATATGATTGCATGCATAGAAGATCCAAAACAATATAAACACAAATTGTAAGAATTAATTTAAAAGTATGGAAAGGTTTTTTTTTTTATCCTCACTTGAGGACATTTTTGCATTTATCTTCAGATAGTGCAGGAGGGAGAGAGGAGGGAAGAGAGAGAGAAAAACATCAATGTGAGAGAGACACACTGAGTGGCTGCTACCCATATGACCCCAACCGGGGCCAGGGACAAACTGTAACTGAGTTATGCGCCCCCAGTGGGAATCAAACCCGGGATTCTCTGGTCCGCATGCGGAGGCTCTAACTGCTGAGCCAAACTGACCAGGGCTGGAAAAGTTTTTATTACAAATTGTGTTTTTATATATTACCAATAGTTAGAAAATGAAATTTAAGAAAAGTTACCATTTACAATAATATGAAAAATATCAGCACCTAGGAATGTGTCTAACAAAAGATGTATAAGACCTCCACAAAGAAAATTATAATGTTGAGAGAAATTAAAGGCCTAAGTATAGTATATACACATATTTTATAAATGCGAGGATTCGATATTATAAAGATTTAAATTATGTCAAATTTATCTATAGATTCAGTGTAATTCCAACTAAAATCCCAAATGGTTGTGTGTGAGTGCATGTGGGTATATGTTTTAATTTGACAAACTGATAATAAAATTTATATAGAACTTCAAATGGCCAAGAATAGCCAACACATCCTAGAACAAGAAGAACAAGGTGAAAGGATTTTCTCTATCAAACCTAAGATTTATAAAAAGCTAAAGTAATTAAGACAGCATGTTATTTTCAGAAGAACAGACAAATAGAACAATGAAAGAGAATAGAGTTCAGAAACATACCAATATTTTTATGACCCAGGTAACAACATAGTAGTGTAGGAAGGTATCTTTATAACTTTGAGATAGACAAAGATTTTTTTATTTTATTTTATTTTATTGGTACGTGCCCTTAGCGGGAACCGAACCCGGGACTCTCTGGTCCGCAGGCCAATACTCCAACCACTGAGCCAAACCGGCCAGGGTGACAACGATATTTTTTAACAAAGATTTCTTAAAAAAAAAAAAAAGATTTCTTAAATCAGATCCCAAAATGGCCAATTATAGGATTAAACACAGATTAAAATTACAAGCTTTGATTCCTCAAAAGATACCATATTTAAAGAATGAAAATATAAGTCACAAAAATGTTTGTCATGCATACCTGATCAACTATTCATATATAAAGATTTCCTATCAATTAATGGAAAAATTAAAAGGACAGAAGCCCAAAGGAAAAGTGAACAAAATCTTGAATAGGCATTTCACAAAATAGTAACTCAAATGCCAAATAAATATATAGAAAACTGCTCAACCTCATTTGTAAACAGGGAAATGCACATTCAAACTGCAAGGAGCTATCACTATACACATAAACCAAATTAGCAAAATTTTAAATTCTGACAGTACCAAGAGTGGGTGAGGCTATAGAGCAACAGGAACCTTCTCACACTGCGGGTGGGAGTAGAAAACTTAAGAGTTGAAGTAATATATACCCTATGATGCAATAGTTTCACTGCCACTCTTTCGTAGAAAAATGTATACTTATGGACACCAGGACACATGTATATGACTGTTTATAATGGTATTTTTTTTTTAAGTAGAGGATTATTACTCATACATCTCACTATTCAGGCAAGAGTCTTACATTCATTAAATGAACTTATCTGAAATTATGTGCTCTTATGCTCTCTGTTGCTCAGGTGAGGATTAAAAAAAAGCATCCTAACCTATTAGATAGTTTGGAAGTTTCAATTTTCAAAAATAATAAAAACAATAAAAAACTCAGTTAAACACAGATGCAGTGAATAGAAGAAAACAAAGAAAAGAAGAAATGAAGTATTGGAATATTTGGCACATTGGATTGGTTCAGGATGATGAAAACATAATTTTCTTACTGTAAATAGAAAAGGAATAGATCCGTTCATAATATATTGTCCACATACTCCATACAAGAAAGCTAAAGGCCTTTGGGCCTTGTGATCATCAGTCATAGAGCCAACACTCAGCATTTGGAATGCTGGTAATGATGAAGTCAGACAACAAAAACACTGGAACAAACACTGTTATGGCAAAAGACATGTGCATCGTGGGTGGCTTCTCCAGCTTTAGGTTGGGATGAAGCACCAGGAAGGGGAACCAGTACAGTGTCTCATTGCTGGTGGTGGCAGAACAGCTCTCTAAGCCTATAGCATTCTTCTTAGTGTGCTGGAAACACACAAGATATCCGTAAGCCACAGAAAGAATAAATACTCTGGGGCGTTGCCTTACAGTGGAATGCTACACTGCAAAGCAAATAGGTGAATGAAGGGTATACACCATGATGTGGATGACTTTTCCAAACAAAGTAGATCATAAGAAGGCAGACACAGTTACATGTAGCGATTGGTTATATTTTAAAAATATACAGAAATAGGCAAAACCGAACTATATTGTGTGGGGTACATATATAGGTGGTGAAACTCTAAAAAAAAAGAGAGTAATTACCAAAATTAGAGACTACTGTACTGCTTAGATAGGAAGGTGATGGGATTATTGTGTGAAAGGAGCATTCAGAGGCTACTGGTATACAGGCAATGTGCTATTTCTTGTCCTGGGTGGTGGTTATATGGATAATCACTATAGAACAATTTGTTAAACTATATATTTATGTTTTATGTACTTTCCGAGTGTTATATTTCACAATAAAATGGTTTAAAAGCAATTAACTAGTATTGTGCTTTTTAAATCAATCTCATACATATGCCTGATATTAGCCAGAGACCCAGTGTTTGATCATCTCTGAGTGTATTTTAAAAAGTGAGCTCTAAGTTTGCAAAGCTGAAGTTCCAAAGTGATCTCAAAATGAGGGGAGGTATAATATGGAATGGTAACTCGACACAGGAAAAAGAGAAACAAACCTGGGTTTACATTCTGACTCCACAATTTGTTAGCTTTTTGATCTTGAACAGTTTTCCCATCCATAAAATGCTGACTCTTTCAGGGTTGTGGGGAGGTTTATAAGGAACAAAGTGGACACACTGTCAAGAAAAGGGAGCTGGGTATTGTGTATACGACTCTGCGTAGGAACCTGGCCTAAGGCACCAGGCCAAAGGTCGATGTCTCATTACTGAAAAGGCCAATATTTTACCCCACCATAAAGATTTAAAACAGAACAGCCCTGGCCGGTTTGGCTCAGCGGTTAGAGCGTCGGCCTGCGGTCCGGAGAGACCAGGGTTCAGTTCCCGCTAAGGGCATGTACCTTGGTTGCAGTTTGTCCCCGGCCCTGGTTGGTTGTGCGGGTGGCGACCACTCGATGTGTCCCTTTCACATCGATGTTTCTCTCTTTCTCTGTTCCTCTCTCTCCCTCCCACTCTACCTGAACAAAAAATGGAAAAAGGTCCTTGGGTGAGGATGATAAAAAAAAAATATATATTTAAAACAGAACAAAAAAAATCTTCTCCTTTCATCAAGCTATCATTTACCCATCTCTGAAAAACCCATTCATTAATTCAACAAATATTTGTAGGGTGCCAACCATCTATAAAGCTTCATGATGTGTGTTTTGTGGTCACTGAACCTTGAAAAATACATAGTAGTGCTTGAATACATTTAGAGTTGGACAGTTAATATGGTCTAAGAAAATGCATTTGAAGGGAAAGGTAAAAGGCAGGGAAATGTGATTAAGATTTGGAATTTAGTTTAAAACTACAAAGGTTTGAGGGAATATGATCAATATTCAAAAGATCATGAAGGATGAGGATAGGGAAGAGATTTATTCAAATAATCCTGGAACACTAGAACTCCCAGAAGAGCTTCCTTTGAAGTTTGGGGTGAATGACTAGTCATTTTCCTTTAGATCTCCCCTACTAGACTGTGAACTCCTGAATAGTCGGAAACTTTCTTAATCCTGCATGACCACAACCAGGCCGAGGACTGAACCTGCCCTAGACCCAAATCAAACCTGTGACCCTTGGGTCTGCAGGCCGATGCTGTAACTCCTGAGTCAAACTGGCCAGGGCCACACTTTAGCCTTTGTGAGCCATATGGTCTCTGTCAGCATCATTCAAATCTGTTGTTATAGTGAAAAAAATCCATTGATAATATGTAAACACACAGGTACAGCTCTTTGCCAATAAATCTTTATTTACAAAAACAGAAGGCTGGCAGGTTTTGACACAAGGGCCAACGTTTGCTGACCCCTGCACCAGGGCATAAGCACTGTGTATGTTCTGCCTACCATTAAACACTCAGTATCAACAAGATTTCCTGCTCTGTGAATACTGATGCTCAATAGACATTTGCTGAATGCTGAAAACCAAACTCTTAGATAGGAGCTCACAGAAACTAGGTACCTATATGTTTACAGAACTGAACCACAATAAAAAGGAAGTACTATTGTACATGGTGGTTCAAATTGTACATTTTTGTGGTTTATAAAATTTAGATGAATATGTGGATGGCAGTTCACATAGATTATTTTCAAACAAGTATGTTTGCGGGATGGTCCCCTAACTTTTGATGCTTTTGTGTCAGAAAGAACAACTTTGCATTCCTATAAATTATACCTTGATGCAGTTGATATTTGATTCAGCCAATAATAATGGATACACCTATTAGGGATAAATAAGTCTAGGGCAGGATAACCAGAGTTTGGGCTCAGGTCACTGAAATATAATAAGTGCTAAAATTTTAGGTAATAATTTCAAAAGCTTGTATGACTTTAAAATGTTTCCTATTTACAGGCTGACAGCACACATACACCCCCTCAGCCCCAAAGAAACAACTAAGCTGTGTACCTACTTGGTAGAGAAAAGTTAAAGGGGTCAGTCAACCATAGAGCACATATTGTCCTCCTATCTATGGACACTATCATGAATTATAACGTTGAGAAATTTTGATTCATTTTTCCCCAGGGCCAACTGAATTACAGAGACCCGTCAATGAAGGATGTGCCCACTAGAATTACCTTAACGCTTTCTTCCTGAAGTAAGCTATTCTGTTGCTTTAAATCCAAGTTCTTTCCTCGCTCATAGCGAAGCTCTTTCTCAGCTGAGTTGCATAGAACCTGGAGCCGGTGCAAATTCTGGCGAAGTTGTTGTACTTCCTCTTGCTGCTGGTATTTCAGTTTTTCTCTACATGATGCATTCTAAAACAAACATTTTAAAAGAGAAACATGGACAATTTGAAAAAAAAATACATGGGTTCAGGCTGTCAGAACCAGAATTGTCAGAATGTGGTTATTCACATGTTAGTTGTTCATATAATTTAACTCCCATTATATTAGAGCAAAAATATCAAAGAAATTATGTGAAATTAACTTCTTATTTTTCATATCAGAAGCATAGAACATTTTAGAGTAAAAAGCCTCTTCAGTGCAACAAAACGACTGTGACCAAGGAAGTCATGAGGGTTTTCTTTTTTATTTATTTATTTATTTTTTTTTATCCTCACCCGAGGACATTTTTCCATTTTTTGTTCAGGTAGAGTGGGAGGGAGAGAGAGGAACAGAGAGAGAGAGAGAAACATCGACGTGAAAGGGACACATCGAGTGGCTGCCACCCGCACGACCAACCAGGGCCGGGGACAAACTGCAACCGAGGTACATGCCCTTAGCGGGAACCGAACCCGGGTCTCTCAGGACCGCAGGCCGACGCTCTAACCGCTGAGCCAAACCGGCCAGGGCTCATGAGGGTTTTCTCATAGGTGGGCACACACCGGTGTGCGGAGTAGATAAAGAATTCAACCTTATCCAATTCAGTAGATAAGATGTACTTAGCGTTTCCTGAGTCCTGGTCCAGGATGCTTCCTATCTGTGACTTTTTGAAAAGCCCATGTCATTATTATATTTCTAGCTTGCTTACAACAGAATTTCCCAAGGCCTGCTAGTCCTTAATTTCCTATCTGGATTTACCCAGAAAGGTGGTCTAAATCCAACTTACTTGTCTTAGAGCTGCAAGTATCTAAAATCCCTAGAGAAAATTATTTAATGTAATTATAATGTAATTATTAAGAACCCTAGTTTTGGCATAAGAGACATTTGGGTTTCAATTTGAATCTATCACTTACTATTTGGGTGATTTTGGAGAATTACATAGTCTTTCTACATTTCATATTTCTCATCTTAAAGTGGGGATAATAATGACAACGACTGGATGGAATACAGGGTGAGGCAATGCAGGCAAGGACTTAGCATAATGCCTGGCAGTAACAAGCACTCAGTAACATTACCCATTACTGTTGAAGCTGCTTAACTTTACTTTAACTTCCTTCTTCTATCTGAAAACAAGAGTTTTCCTGACGCCTGGAGAGCCTTAATGACCACTCTAGCTTCTTATTTAACTATTATACAGCAGGTTTTAACAACTGATTAGCAATCTTCAGCCTAGATAGCTATTTAACATAACGAAACAGAGACATACAAAAGAACCCCATTTGTACCAATGCAACAAACACATTGTTAGCCTATTTTGTAGATGAAAAAAGCCAGAACAGTAGTTCTTCCTGTCTACATTTTCCAGACAAGTTACAAAAGTAAAAATGCAAATTATTTTTCAAAGGCAACTATGAAAGAAACTACCAGTCAGTTTATTAATTAAATTATCTGGAGTGTCAGTTTATTCATCTGCAAATTAAAGATATGGAACCAAATAAAATGATGTTAATGTCTCTTCCATCTTAAGGAATTCCTTAAGAATTTTTTTTTTTTCTTTATCCTCACCTGAGGACTTTTTTTTCCCATTTTTTGTTCAGATAGAGTGGGAAGGAGAGTGAGGAAGAGAAATAAAAACATCAATGTGAAAGAGACACATTGAGTGGTTGCCACCTGCACGACCCAACCAGGGCCAGGGACAAACTGCAACTGAGGTACGTGCCCTTAGTGGGAAAGGAACTTGGGTCTCTCTGAACCGCAGGTGGATGCTCTAGCCGCTGAGACAAACCAGCCAGGGCGGAATTCCTTAAGAATTTAAAACAAGTTGGAACCAGCATTAATTGTCTTAATTCTATAGGCTTAAAATCTAGCTTTTAATATTTTAAAATATTATCTTAATAAAATAAAAATGTAAACCAACCAAGATAATTTATTGATCCCAGTGACAAGATCATTCCTATTACAGAAACAGAGTAAAAGACTACTGGCTTTAAATGTTCCAGCCAGTGAACGTGGATAAACCAGCTATCGAAATCTATGAGTGTATCAATCATCACACTAAATCTGCTTGTTCTGACTCCCCACTCATCAAACGTCCATCAGATTTTGATTTATCATGCTTAGCTCTCTACATGTTCATTTAAACATGTCTGAATGATGTTTATAATTAATTATTACAGAATAGTAACTAATTGGCATTATAATTTTACCCAATAGTTTTGAAAGTTTGGTTTAATGTTAGTTTATCTCCAAAAAAAATCAAGCCTTGGAGGCTGTAAGTCTAAGGGCCAAACCTTAAATAAATTCACCAATATAATCTATGACTGAAACCCTAAGAAGAATTTTGAGAGCCAGCCTTTCTTAGGAAATTAACTTAACATAAGAACTGTACGCTTTTTAAAAATTTCTCAGTAATTGCAAGCAAATGGCAGCAGTTAAAAGGCCAAGCGCTAGCGGGATCCAAGATGGCGGCAGAGTAGGTAGAAGTTACACTCGCCTCCTCCCAGGACCAAACTGGAATTACAACTAAAATATAGAACAATCAACCTGAATAACCAACTGAAGACTAGCTGAAGAGAAGTTTTATAACCAAGGATTTACAGAAGAAGCCACACCGAGACTGGCGGGAAGGGCAGAGACATGAAAAGGGCTGGCCCCACACTCATGTGCAGCAACTGAGAATCTGGAGGGATATCAGAGGTCCCCCCTGAGACATGTGGGGATCTCAAACACATACTGGGTTCCCCAGCCAGGCGCAGCACCAGAGTCAAGAAGAGGAGGAGCCCACATAACATCAGGCTGTGAGAATCAGCAAGGATTCTGTCCACCAGGCAGAGACAGGAGTCTGCTAAAAACCCAGGTGCCCTCTTCCAGAGCGAGTGCACAAAATCTCATTTGCAGCCACTCTCCCTGGGCTCTGGAGGAGGGAGGGCACCTTTAGAGCAGACTAGAGTAGTGGGAGAACAGACTGGGCTGTGTGGCTCTTGGGAGAGAGCTGAAGGGACAGCCGCCAAGATTCCTGTGCTGAGTTCCTGCCCTTCCGTGCCCATAAACACCACCTTTCTTGGCTTGGTGCACACCCCTACATATGACATCGGCCTCGGGGAATGCAATAGCTCCACCCTCCCTACTCTCTATTTCTCCACCCTACTGAGCTCACACTTTGCAGAGGAGTCAACTCACTGCGGGGTGTAGAGGGCTGGGTGAATTCAGGGCATATCAGAGACTGAGTTGTGTGACTCTGGGGTGGGGACCATTCCCCTCTTCTCTGGAGCCTGACTTGGGCCATGTCCTCACAGGAAATCTACAAACCCCACCCTCCTAACTCCTGGCAGCCCCACTCTTCCAACCTCAGGCTCTGGAGGAGGTCTGGGCAGAATCCAGGGAAATTGTGTGGCTCTCAGGTAGGAGTCACTTTTCAATTGCATACCTAGCCAGTGCCACCATTCCTGTACAAAGCCCTCCCCTCACACAACCAAATCTAGGTCTGTTTGGGCCTCATAAACTCTGCTGGCCTCACCCTAAGGACTTCCTGAGATCCCGCCTAACCAAAAAGGTCTTTAGGCACTGGTGGGTAACAGCTGACCTTGGTGTACCCTAGGACTTTGCTAAATGGTCTCAGACCCAGCACCGGCACTGAGTGTGCATCTGTATCAATCTGGTAAACACTACTTGCCCCTACCTGGTGACTCACAGAGAACCTCCCTCACATAACTCGCATACCACCAGAGGTTCTTTCAGTGACCAAACCTAACAGGAAGCTGGCAGGCAAAGGCAGGTGGAGGCAGATCTTGGGGTGCCTTGGGCCTTTAGCTGACCAGCCCCAGGCTCGGTGTTAAAGGAAGCTGGCCTTGGTGCCCAGCTTGGCCCTTCCCATGCACACCAAGGCCCAATAGAGGCAGCCACAAACTCTGAATTGTCTTGTAGCTCCAAACAGCTTGCCTAGGGTCCAATATAGGCAGCATCTGACATTGACCTGCACTAGAATCCCTCTACAGAGGCCCCAGAACCAAAACACCTAGTGGTCAGCTTCAGACAACATTAGAGCAGGATCTAATTGGCAGCACATCCAGTGGGAGATGTCGGCAGGCACCAGACCCTGCTGAAACAAATTTTGCTTCATGTGGTGAGCACCCAGCCTGAGGATTGACTCCATGCACAGATGAGCCAACAGCAATCACGCTGCAACTACAATAGAAGGGCTCACATAACCCACACAAGGGACATTCCTGGAGCACCCAGCTCAGGTGATCAGGGAGATTGTGCCACTGGTTCCCACAGGACACTTACTACATAAGGTCACCCTACCAAAAGTGGGAGACATAGCAGATCTACCTAGTACACAGAAACAAACACAGAGAGGCAGCCAAAATGAGGAAACAAAGAAACATACTCCAAATGAAAGAACAGGAGAAATCTCCAGAAAAAGAACTAAATGAAATAGAGGCAAGCAATTCACCAGAGATAGAGTTCAAAATAATGGTTATAAAGATGTTTAAGGAACTTAGTAAGAACTTCAACAGCATATTAGAAAAACATGGAAACCATAAAAAAGAACCAGTCTGAAATGAAGAATACACTAGAGCAGTGGTTCTCAACCTTCCTAATGTTGTGACCCTTTAATACAGTTCCTCATGTTGTGGTGACCCCCAACCATAAAATCATTTTCGTTGCTACTTCATAACTGTAACTTTGCTACTGTTATGAATTGCCATCGGAAATATGTGTTTTCTGATGGTCTTAGGTGACCCCTGTGAAAGGGTTGTTCGACCCCCAAAGGGGTCGCGACCCACAGGTTGAGAACCGCTGCACTAGAGGGAATCAACATTAGGTTAGATAAAGCAGAGGATTGCATCAGTGATTTGGAAGACACAGTAGCAGGAAATACCCAATCAGAGTAGCAAAAAGAAAAAAGAATTTTAAAAAATGAGGATAGTCTAAGGCATATTTGGGACAGCATGAATCTTTTTTTTTTTTTTTTTTTTTTTTTTTAATCC